GCTTCTCTTAGTTAGGGCTAGTCCAGGGCTGTCCAGGGTTGGAACTACAGGTATGAGACAGGACTCACCTGAATCCAGATACTGGGGTTATTGGGAATAGCTTCCCACTCAGTTTCCTAAGACTCATAACTATGGCATTTGCCTCTCTGTGGCTCTGACTACAAGGAGAGTGTGAGCTTTGCTGGGGGTGTATGTGGGTAGGGGCCATCTATGCCTTTTATCACTAGGGGAGTGTGAGGAACAAGAAAAAAAATTGCACTCCTCTCTCTGTGAGTCACTGGTATGTTTCTGCAATGCCAATATACTATCTTGTCTCTGAAGCTGCTCACAAAAGCTTAATGTGGCAGCACTACATCTAGTCAGCTGACACAGGTCATCAGTATGTCTCCTTTTTCTGCTGTGTCTGTTTAGCTTCCTCTCCTAGTAAGTCTTTAGTGCACATCTCTATCCCTTCATCTGAAGCTTAGGGGTCTAGGACTATCTTCTATGTCTGGTTCATTTGGCTTTCTGTATCTTTATTTAAGTGTGTCTGTGCAGTATTACTGCCTAATCTGCCATCTTCCCTCTTTCCAACTATGATTTATTTTTGAAGTCAGTTTTTTTTTTTTTTTTTTTTTCTACTCTGAGATTTCTTTGAGTATGTAAAGGTCTTTTATTTGTCCTGTTATACCAATGCAGCTTGGAAAATAAAATATAAAGCATATCTATGTACATGCTCCATATAGTATTCTGTGGTCTTAATTGGTTCCTTATGAGTTTCAGTTCGCATGAAGAGATATTTCTTAGCAGAACCATGCTCAACAGTGAAATAGACATTCTCTGTCTGATGGGGTAGGGGTACTCAAGGTAATAAAACTTAAAACAATCAGAAAAAGGCAGGGCTATCAATGTGAATTTAATGGCACTAGCTACTTCCCTGTATTTTTCTCATTATATAATATTGTGAAACACTACATATCTTTTTTCAAGATCTTATCATAGGTTTCTGTTCCTGGATTCAGGAAGTTCAAAGCACAGGGGCCTCAGTGTACAACAATGCACTCCACACCTAGGTCTGTGATGGTATAATATCCTGACGCCTACAAGGAAGCCCAGTTAATACCACCATTATTCAAAGCCAGTGATGATGAAATTGAAGAATTCTACCAACTTCTGAAATTGATCAAACATGCAATCCAGATATGTTGATAATTACTGGTGATAGGAATGCAAAGGTTGGAAACAAAGAGGAAGGATCAGTCATTTGAAAATATGGTCTTGGTGATATAAGCAATGCTGGAGACCACATGATAGAATTTTGCAAGACTAAGGTCTTCTTCATTGCAAATACCTTTCAAAATAACATAAAAGATGACTATACATATGGACCTCACCCGATGGGATACACAGAAATCAAATAGACTACATCTGTGGAAAGAGATAATGGAAAAGCTTCATATCATCAGCCAAAACAAGGCCAGGGTCAGACTGTGGAACAGAGCATCAATTGTTCATACGCAAATTCAGGCTGAAGATGAAAAAAATTAAAACAAGTCCATGACAGCCAAAATATAACCTTGAATATATCCTACCTGAATTTAGAAATCATCTGAAGAACAGATTTGATGCATTAGACACTACAGACTGAAGTCCTGAAGAGTTATGTCATGACATCAAGAACATCATATAGAAAGAAAGCAAAAGATCATTGAGAGGTTAAGAAAGAAGGAAAAGACCAAAATGGATATCAGAAGAGACCCTGAAACTTGCTCTCCAGCATAAAGATGCTAAAGCAAATGGAAGAAGTGAATAGGCACAGAACTGAACAGAAAAATTTAAATGTCAGCTCAAGAAGACAAAGTCAAATATTATATTGGAATGTGCAAAGACCTGGAGTTGTAAAAAAAAAAGCATTTCTCAAGCTGAGAGAACAAAAGAAAAAATTCAAGCCTCGACTTGTGGTATTGAAGGATTCAGTGGACAAAATACTGAATTATGAGGAAAGCAAAGAATATACAGAATCACTATACCAAAAAGAAATGGTTGATGTTCAAACATTTGAAGAAATAGCATATGATCAATAGCCAATGATCCTGACAGGAAGTGCAAGGTGTATTCATTGAAGGTATTGCAAAGAGCAAGGCACTGGTAATAGGTGGAATACAAATTGAAATCTTTCAACAAACTGATGTGGTATTAGAGGCACTCACTTATCTATTTCAAGAAATTTGGAAGACAACTACCTGGCCAACTGGCTGGAAGAGATCTGTATTTGTGCCCATTCCAAAGAGAGGTGACCCAACAGAATGCGGAAATCATCAGACAATATCATTGATACCCCATAGGAGTAAAATCTTATTAAAGGTAATACAAAAATGGCTGCAACCATAAATTGACAAGAGGTTCAAGCTAGATTCAGAAGCAGATGTGGAATGAGGGATATCATTGCTGACGTCAGATGGATCTTGTCTTAAAGTAGAGAACACCAGAAAGATGTTTACTTGTGCTTTATTGACTGTGTAAAGGATTTCAGTTGTGAAAAAATAAGTATTCTGAAATTCTTAATTGTACTCATGAGGAACGTGCAGAAAGATCAAGAGGCAATTGTTCGAATCAAACAAGGGAACACTGAATAATTTAAAATTAGGAAAGGTGTGTGCCAGGGTTGTATTCTTTTATCGTGTTTATTCAATCTGTATGCTGAACAAAACATCTGAGAAGCTGGATTATGTGAAGAAAAACATGGCATCAGGATACGAGGAAGACTCATTAACAACATGTGATATGCTGATAATACAACCTTGCTTGCTGAAACTGAAGTGCACTTAAAAAATTTAACTGATGAAGATCAAAGACCACAGCCTTGGGTATGACTTGCATCTCAATGTAAAGAAGACAAAAATTCTCACCACTGGAAAAATAAACAACAGCTATAAAAATGGCGAAAAGATTTTAAGTTTTCGGACATCATTTTGCTTGGATCAGCCATCAAGATTCATGGAAGTAACAGTCAAGAAATCAAATAACGTATTGCATTAGACAAAGCATTAAATAGCAAAGATGTCAGTTTGAGAACTATGTTGCATCTGACCCAAGACATGGTATTTTAAATAACCTCATGTACATGTGAAAGTTGGACAATGAATAAGGAAGATCATGGAATAATTTATGCAGTTGGAGAATGTTAAAAAAAAACATGGGCTGCCAAAAGAACAAAGAGTTCTGTGTTGGAAGAATAACTAGAGTGCTCCTTGGAATCCAGGATAGACAGACTGTATCTCTTATATTTTGGACATATTTTCAGGAGGGACCGGTCACTGGAGAAGGTCATCAAGTTTGGTAAAGTGGAGAGTTGGAGAAAAAGAGTAAGAACCCCAACAAGATGGATTGGCACAGAAGCAGCAGCAGTGGGATTAGGGGTAGCAATGACTCTGAGGTTGGCCAGGACCGAGCAGTGTTTTGTTCTATTGTGCAAAGGGTCACTATGAGTCAATAACAGCTCAGTGGCATTTCAAAACAACAACATCTGGCCATTTTCAGAAAAGTTAGCTGACCATTGGTATAAATATTAAAACCTTATATTTTGATGATAAACTGAAAAAAATAAAAAAATAAAACCAAAACAGGAATAAAATGCCTAATCATATGTATCTTATTTCCATCATGAAAAAATAAATTGCTTTAGACAACATCAACTGCTTACCTAGAAAATTTGACAACTGGGATAAAGATGATATATACTAAGTAAAAACAAATGTATTATTTATTGATAAAAATTAAAAAAAATAACCATATTCTCTTTAGGGAAAAATAAAAGGCTTTCAAATATGTGTGCTCTGAGTTGGGAAAAGGCTAGCTTAATCTTTAGGATTCAAAAACAATCAAATTATTAAAAAAACTCAGTTTTCTAACATACTTTCTAACACATTTTCCATTTAAAGTCCATTTTTGTATATTATACATTGGTTTAAATGTACAATATATAGTTGTCATCATGTTACTATGCTTAGTCCACTGTCTTGTCTAAAGTCCTAAAAAGTCATATTAAAGTGTAATATGTGTGAATTTAAGAAGGGAAAGTTTTCTTCTTTAGTATATATTTTTGTGACCTAACTCTAACCCTTGTAATGCTTGTTTGCATTTTCCTGCAGAAATTATAGACAGAGTCTAGTGTTTTCTATGATGTTGTTTGCTTTACCTTGGAAGCCATCAGTGATGACTATTTACTGCCAGTATACAGTAATCACATAATTGTGTATAGACTGTAATCTTAATCCAAAGGAGAACCGTACCTTGCCTTCACTAAGAATTCAGGGTTGTTTTTTTTTTTTCTGCTATTGCTCTCCATTGTATATTTAGACAAAATGTTACCCAATTGTATCCTGAGATGTTTCCTTTAGACTTTGTATATTATCCATATATCTGTTGTTGTTGTTAAGCGCCTTCGAGTTGGTTCCTACTCAGTGACCCTATATGAAGTTTCCAAGGAGTGACTAGTGGGTTTGAACTGCTGACCTTATAGTTAGCAGTCCTGGTGCTAATACCACCAGGACTCCTACTGGTGATTATTTGGAAGACTAAACTTTCCCTGAAGTGGGTTAAACATTGGGCTGCTAACCAAAGAGTTGGCAGTTCAAAATGACTAGTTGCTCCAAGAGAGAGAAAGATGAAACAATATGATTCTGTAGATTTATATCGAGAGCAGTTCTACTGTATCCTATCGGGTCACTATGAGTTGAAATTGATTCAATAGTAGAGGCTTTAGTTTTTCTTGGGCTTGAGTAGACCCAGCTCATGATACTTTCTTTGTTGGAATAAAGGTAAACTATAACCTTATTCCACAATTTATTTTATGAAAATAGACATGAATTCAATTATAATGCTGCATATCTTTGCAAATTTTTGGTGTTATAGAAATTTAAGACCTAATTATCAAATTGTAATGATTAAAAAAAAATATCACGTTGCTTGAGTAATTATCAAATTCCTTGGGTAGGAGTGCAGCAGAGTTCTTTAGGTTTCTAGCTTATGATACATCTCTTCTTTGGTGGCTCCATACTCTTCCGGATATTCTGTATCTCTTTATGAAGTCGTCTGCTCTCATCTTGGAATCCTTCCTTGAGGAGTTGAGCCTGTTCCTAAAAAGAGATGAATGGAAACTTAATAAATTGCAGACTTAAGTAAAATTTCTAACTTCTATCTAGTTTCCACTTTCATTGATTTTAAATTATTTCTTCTTGAAATTTTTTCCACCCTTAACTTTTACTATTCTTTTAAATGTGCACCTTATCTCTGTGATTGCTTCTCTTGTATTTTTATATAAGGATTTTCAGATTATACCTCCTTAGATATTTTTGACTCTAGAATATCAGTCTTGACCTTTCTTCCTATTAATTGTATACCATTTTTATGGGCAATCTGAATCATATATTTGACTTCAGATCTTATCTATGAATTATAAACTCTTTTATACACACCCACATACTTAATAGCAACAACATA